TTCTAACTCATTTTCGTTCTTTAAGAACTAATTAATACTCGAAGACCAATTAATTCTCTTGTATTTATGTTATGGCACGGTCAAGAATATATCTCGGTATAATTATGCATGGATAATGGAGGGAATAGTACACTTGTACTGTGAATGTGGTGAGGAACCTCAAGGATAATAGATCATTCATTGTCAAGTTATACTACAACCACTTGGTTAAAAAAATGAAGTCACAGAAGAAAGGTTGAATGCTCTTCACAGAATTACTCTTTTGGTGCGGTGAGGTAAGGGCTGTGTCTTTTAACTTTTGACAAATTGATGAGGAGATGAAAGATTATGATGAATGAGTGTTAATTTATGCAAGAGGGAGGCTGAATCTTATAATCATAAAGATTATGGTGAATGACTGCTATTTATGTAGGAGAGAGGCTGAATCTCCTAATCATACTTTACTACTTCAGTACAGGTTATGAACTATATAGCCTGTGGGTTACCCATTAGGATTTAGGTTGGTAATAGCTTGGTTTGGTAAGAGATAAGATTTGGGCCTATGAGGGTCTTATTTTTCTTTTTATTATATGGGTAGTGTGGGAAAAGAATAACAAGAAAGTTTTTGAGGTAGTGGAAGAGAATTTTATCAGAGTTACAAACAAATGACTAGAGTATTTGGGTTTTATACATTTTATACAAGATTTGTAGGATCTTATTACTGACTTGTAAATATTTTTGTACAGGAGTAGCACTCTTTTCGTGTTTGTGAATTAATGATTATGTTATATTTTCTATTTAAAAAATCTTACAACAATAATAGTATTCCTGCATCATGATAGGATTCCTATCTCTAAGTTGCCTCATCTTATGAATACCAACTATGCATGATAACGAGTTTATACATACATAAATTACTACTTTAATTCATGATTTATTTATCATATTATAAATTAAATTTTTAATAATTTTTTTTTTTAGAATTGATACTTAAAACTTATGAAATTGTTTCAATTCGTGATACTTTTAAGATAATTGTGAAACTTTTGACAGCAAAAAGATGAATTCTTTTTCTTTTCTTTACTTTTTTTTTTTTTTGGGAACGTACTTTTGAATTTAATAAACTTTGAAACTCATTATAACAAAACATTTAACTTTAAAAGTACTAAATACCAATGTTGAGTTTCTTTTATTTAAACAATACATAATGACACACATTTAATGAAAAAGAAGTACTTATAAATACTTTTTTTTTGAAAATTTAAGTCCTCGATTTTAAATAGAAATATTATATTTTAATTTCATAAAAAAAAAATTCAAAATATAATAAAAAATTATAAAATTTAGAACAGAGATGCCAACTGCTATGCATAAAAATACACAATCATGCTTCCGTGTAGGAGGAGAGTGGGACCATCATGACGGCCAAAGATGATGGTTTTATAATGAGTAGTGGGAACACCTGTCATCATATTTTGCCACGTGGCTCATCACAATCTCCATCCCTATCCAACGCCAGCTTCCCCTTTATCCTTTTCTTTCATCATTTCTCGCCAAACTACTTTGTCTACTTATTAATTTTTATTTTACCAAAAAAGCTTATCAATTTATTATAAAATTATTAAAAGAAAAACTACTCTTCTTGTCTAATTAACAACAAAGCATCTAGATAAGACCACGAGCAGCCGACGACACTCCTGTTGTATGCAACTTCCGTGATACCCTCTTCAAATTTTGACACGTCAACGACATTGTGTTGTACCATACACATTATTAGATTTTAGTAGTTCGGAAAATTAATATTTCAATCACTTTCAATACAACCTAACCTCACGTAACAAACCAAAAAACAAAACATAAGAAACTCTTTATCAAATTCCAATAATTTTTTAGTTTTATTTTTAAATTATTTATAAATAATATAATATCACACTAATTTTTTTTTTTTTAAATAGACAATAAATGATTTGTGGGTCACGGTGATAACATGCAATAGCGGTTAGATTATCAAAGTCGTGGCAGCTAAGAACAATCTTAATAATGCATCAGGTGCCCACAGTACGGCTTTTCCAGCTGGCTCTCCAACCGCAAAACGAGGTCCAGTAACGGTCCCAACTTCCAGCTGGATTCCATACTAGATAACCTGCGCACTCTTAGCGACCGTATCTAACGTACGCCTCTCTTTTGGGCGCACGTTAAGTTTCTCCTTTTAAAAAAAATTAATTTTTTAAATCTGTAAATCACAAAATTATTATATATCTTCTGAATCTGGGAAAAACATGAAAAAACCTGAACAGGCGCCACGCCCGTAGCGCTCCAATTTACCTTTCACAAGACAACAATTTAACATGCAAATACTTTACACGTGCGGGACTAGGAGAGCACAGTACTTCGCACGTGCTAATGGGCATCGTACGTGCGAAGCCAGAATTTGGAAGAAGGAAGGAAGATGAGGTAGAGTAGAGAAATACAAGACCCCAGAAAGCGACCTAGAAATCGGCGATTTTTCTGTGAGAGCGAGATAATTTCGGCGCGTGTTTATCAATCTCTCGCAAGCTTCTGAGGCTACGGATCGCTAAAACATCGTCCCTACTAAGCTCAACACCGCGCCCAACATCGCCGATTTTTGCAGCTGCATCTGCATCTGCATAAACAAGAAGAAACGCATGTAAACAGACTAAGGGAAAAAAAAAAAGTCAACTAACCATAAACAGTTCCTGGAAGGAAGCAGAAAAAGCCAAAAGCATTTTCAGAAAACTAAACCAATGATTTCATGGTGACTTAAACGGAGAGCAAATGGAGAAGCACCGACAGTATTGGATTTCAAAAACAGAAACTCAAATCGGAGATGTAAGATTAAGGAAGCCTCGATTTAAGCCGCATTGTACCTAAATGCTTCGACGACCTTTGGAATCCAGTAAAATGAGACAAATCTGAAGGAAAAAAAGAAAACGAGAAAGCGATGTTGAGAATCTATCGAAAGGAATTTACAGGTAAGGAGTAGTGATTGTACGAAGAGAGACGTACCTGACTGAGACGGATTGTGAGAGGAAAGGTAGAGGATGAGAAAGCAAAGGAGAGTAAGAACGGGGATGAGGTGGATGAGCTTCTGCGGCGTCGAAAGCTGCGGCAATGAGGAAGATAACCGACGAGGCCTGGTAGATTTGAGGCGGTGGTCGTCAAAATCCGTCAGCAGAGAAGACGAGGATGCGGAGTCCTTGCTTTTAGGGTCGTCCAAGGAGTGAGGTTCTGAGTCCTTGGGTGCTCCATGGCTGTGGTTCTTGGAGACCGGTGAGCCGAGAGATTGTCTTTGCATGATTTGCAGAGAGAAAGACGGGAAGAAAGCGAAAAATGAAAAAGCGAGAGAGAGAGAGAGAGAGAGAGTTTTGCTCTTGTGTTTTACTTACACTTTAATTATTCCTTCTAAAAATTAAAAAAAAAAAAAAATTATTATTTTGGAATTGAGAATAGTGACGACTGAGGGTGGTAAAAACGGTGCGTTTTCCGCTTTATTGGAAGAAGGGTAATAATAAAAATGGGACTTGTTGGGGACTGAGGAAAAATTAGATTCTTGTTGTGGGTTGATTCATAAATAGAAAGTGAGCGAATGCGTTGGTAAATGATTTTTGATCCAATTCATAATTCGTTGAAATTTGTTACTTGTATAAGATTGTAAACTGACTTTTATACCATGATTTTTAACACAAGCATCTCTTCCCTAAAAGCATGTGGTAAATGCCTCACTATATTCAAATTATGTTTAAATTATTACTCAGTAATCCAAGGCATTTGATGCTCCAAATATTTTAAAAAAAAATATATATGTATAAAAATTACAATTTTAAGAATGTTATTCAAAATAGAAGAAAATTCTTACTTTTTGACTTTTGTGCAAGGTAATTTGTTTACAATTCTCAAATTTTTCATTGAAAAATTTATTCCAAATGAAATCGAATAATTCGTGATCACTAATGACTTTACTCTTTAATTTTTGAACCATTATTCTTAATTTTTTCTACATTTGTCCTCATTTGACTATGGTGAATACAATATTAATTTTTGTCATTAATTAAAATTAATTTATATAGTTTAACAAACATATTAAAGGGTCTAATAGTAATCAATTGTATAACGGTCACATATTGATAGAATCTCTATTAATAATTTTCATATAAATACTTTACTTTCTATGTTATTTTTTAATTAATAAAATAATTACTAAACAGTATCCTTCAACGAGTTACGATAATTTCATTAAAAAAAAATAAAAATCATTGGGCCTAAGAAATTTAGAAAGGAAGGTCCAGATCATGAGATTAGCAAAATCAACGGCTGCTATTGATTGGGGAGTCGGGGAGAGGGAAGGCCTATTAAATGTCCGACTATCGCGATCGAAATTTCCGGCCGCTCCAATCGAGAAATTAACCAAAAGGGAAGCAGAATAAAACAATTAACCCCTTCATCAGGAAAAGCAGCAACCCCCAGATACAGACGTCAGAGGTGAGAGGAAGCAAACTGCACACAGATTGCAGAAACTCACTGTTAAAAAACTGCCATTAACATTCAAACACACAGTTCAAGGAGAAAGGAGAAGAAGACGGAGAGGAAAGTTCGTCTGAGAGAGAGAGGACATGGTTCTGTGGGAGATCACTTTGGGAACAGCGTATTTCTTGGGGCTGAAACGGACTTACAGGCTCGCTTTGAAGATTCAGCGTCGCATTTTTGGCCCTAGGCACCCTAAGATCCGTCAATTTGTTCGTCGGTACGTTTCTCTCTCTTCCAATCCAATAACTGTTTCTCAGTACATTGCTTGTTTCTAATTATAGTTGATGATCGGTTTTTGATCGTTTTAGTTGACGAGAAAAAGATAGGTTTCAGATTAGACTTATCTTGCGTGACAAGTCGGTTGACTGTTAATAGCAGATGATGATCGCCAAACCGTCTTTATAAATTTCAATCCATATTTTTGAAGTTGATCAATGCATATTCTCTACGATTATGTGCATTGACTCTCCAGATGAAAATGGACTTGTAAAGCCAGCTTTGGTATAAAATGATTCTAGATACAAAGCTAGGTTGAATCTGAAATGCGATTTAAACAGGTCAGAAATGTGGATTTCTCAGGGACCTTCATGATATAATGGCAGTTTGGTGTCTGCTTCCCTGGGTTTGAGTAGCTAGAGTGACTATGTGAATTGAAATTCGTGCTTGTGGGGTTGTCAGTTGAATGAGTTGACTGGATAGATGTCCAGAACACTGAGCAAAGCAGAGCTTCAGATAAGAAGAGAAGAGAGAAGCTATAGCACTAGGAAGGGAGTATGTCAATCCGAATAATCACATTCTCATGAGAAGATTAGTGTTTAGATGCGATGAAGAAATAAATTGAGATACTATTACTGCATCACAGATAGATTGATCGTATTAATATGGATAGATTGATCGTATAAATATGATTGATGTTATAGGAACTTGTATGTAAATATCTAAGTTAATCAGTGACTGAAAAAATAAAAATAACCAAAGGAAAAAGATTAAACCATAGAGGAAAGTTACCAACAAGGAAAAAAAAAAGCTAAAATAAAAAAAAAAAAAAAATGTATGAGAAGACATATGCAAATAATAAGTTATTGTTAAATAGGATTATTGTGTTATAATAGGAGGACCTATGTTATGTTAAGATTTCCCTTAAACTTAAGACGGTAACGAACTTGAGTTTGCCAAGTCTTAAAAGTTTGGCAATATCAATTTGCTGTATCAAAAGTTATGAAAAGTTGAGTAGCCATATTTGATTACTTTGTCTCTATGAAAGCGTTGTGGTGAAACAAAACAAAAACATTACGATCTAGGCTGATAATCTTTGTGGTGTATGCTGCAAACAATAAAAGTGTGCTCGTGCTCGACTACTCGACTATATATTCATGATAAGACTATTTTGCTATTATAGGAGGACGCGTACAGCGCCATAAAAAAGGAATAGGTTCAGATGGATAGTTGTAACGAAAGTATACATTTGATAAAGTGTGAATTCTTTTATTGCCTTGACATGTCCCCTAATTGGTCAAACTGAGTTCTGATTGGGTTTTGAACATTTTATCTGAACTGAAGCAATTTATAGTGGGAAGACATTTATAAGTGAAAGGAAACTGAAGGAACTCAGGCAAACTCATCTCAAACAGATTTTTGAAGGTCTTGACACAGTAGTACTCAGGGTAAACAAGTGACAAAACAATTTAATCATCCTCATACAAGCTATACAATTTCTTGAAGTTAAAGTGATTTGTTAGAGACGTCTGTGAAGTATGATTGATCTATGTCATTTTCTTCAGAATCCAAGTCTGTAATGATGTTAACAACATTTTCAGATCTCTTTTTCTTTTCTCTGTTGGTACCTGAAGACTTGAAGTTCTTCCTTTGTGCTTTATCATTAGTTTCAGTGGTTTTCTTTAAGCTAGAAAAATGTCTAACCTGCTGATATCATCATATTTTAGCTTTCGCAGTTCTCTCTCCCTCCATCCCTGCCTTCCTAAACTACCTTTACCGAAGAATTTATTCATTTGCCTTGATGCATAGTTATAACTAAAACATACATTGTATTCAAGATTTGTCCTTTATCAGTAAGATTCATTGAGCTCCGGGGTACAAATTTCAAGGCTGTTCTTTTCACTGCAGAAAGTACCGGAACTGTTTATTTTAGAGAAATATGGCATCTGGGTTTGTATTCTTTTTTTATTTATCATGAAAAACATTTGGTGCTTCCAGAAACTGCAGAACATGTTACTTCAAATTGTTAGGTATAGTTGTCTAGTTGCTTTCTCACAAGTTACTGTCAAATCAGATGTTGCATCTGCTCTTAGTTTTAGATTAGTGAAGAGAATGAAGTGCCTTTATGAGATCCCAACCAGCTTAAATGAGGGTCGGAAATTTTTGTTCTTCTTTACTTTACAGGCGTACACGAGCTGTCTTTGATGTAGCACTCAAGGTTCACCAGAATATACAACAGAGAGATATAGAAGTTGGTCGGAATCTTGGGAACTGGATTCTACGGTGGCTTGATAGGATGAAACCATCAGCTCAGATCCGTGGTTCCTTGCCAGAGAAACCACCTGGAACCAGTGCAAGCATTAAGAAGAGAAAGGAGCTTACAAAGTCTTCACATCTGAAAAATTCTGGTTGCACACAGACATCCAAAACCCACGAATCTGATAGACATATGTTCACCTCATCGACAAATATATGGCACAAATCCTTTCCTACCATTAGTATGGCGGTGCGGCCACCAAGGCCTGCAGGGTCTATGACCCAGTATAGGCATTTGTATAGTAGTGGGTCTGATATGCGGATGTCAAACTACATAAGAGGCGGGTTTCAGGGAGTTGTTCGCGAGGACATAGTGCAGTGGATGCTGCGGAACTGAATATGAACTTTTTTTTTTTTTAGCGGTTCTGTTTGTAGACTGATTGAGAATACCTGAGATATGATCAGCGGAAGAGGTGGGTTGGAGACTGGTCTTTTCAAGGTCCCCACGAAGATTAATTTCCCTCCATTAATAAATTTTCCTTCTGATTTTGATGGTTGTCTGTTGTATACTCTTTTGATATTCGTTGCAGTATGTGAATGAGAATTTTAAACGACAGTTACATTGGGCTTAACGTAAAAAATTAGTTACATAGAAATGGGAAAGTGATTTTTTTTTTTTTTTTTGACAAAAAAATTAGATTTGAGTATAAACTTCTTATAATTATTTCAACTGAAACAATTAAGTTGGAAGGAAATTTAAACTTGTTATTTTCAAATAGAAATATTAGATTAAATATTTAACAATTCTAAACCTGAATTTATACATTAAGCGCTGGTATTTTGGACTAGTTTGGAAGAAATTTTACCAATTAGCTAATTTCTTTAATAAAAAGGGAGGCAGAAGCCAGACTGGTACTAAAGCTGCAAGCATCTTAATTTTGTTGATGCTGTAAAAATAAATCAGAAAAATCATACATACCCCTTTCAAGAATCCTTCAATAAAACCCAGAAAACATTTCCCAAATAATCTAATCAATCACCGAGATCAGAAGCAAGCAAAAACGCCAAATTGAGTGAGGAGGACATGGAAACCACATGTATATATGTGTGAATATATATAAGGGTTTATATATGAAAATTAGAAAGAAGCCCTAGTAAATCACCTAACAAAACAAACAAGAATGTCCAAAATTATGATGAAGACGACGATGCTCTTCTCTTGTTTTTGTAGGGGGTGGAAAATGGAAATGAATGATTTCTGAATCATCTGCGATCAAACTATCGAAAACTCTCAGGCGCATCCGGCGGCTTCAGTTTGCTGCTCAGGAAAGCATCATCACCACTCCTGAAAATCACTTATAATTAAGTATTTATCATATTATTATATACAATACATACATATATATATATATATATATATATATATACACAACCAAAATTGGCTTGACGTACCAGAAGATGATGGGAGAGTAGATGGGTGTGGGTTGATTTAAAAATTTCAAGCCCAAGAATTATCAAAAGCAGCAGAAGTGATGGCCTGAGAGAACTCCTGGAAGCTGATCCTGCCATCGCCGTCCGTGTCCGCTTCCCTGATCATCCCCGTCAACTCCTCCGCGGTCAGGGCGTGCCCCAACTTCGCCATCGAGTGCGCCAACTCCGCCGCCGTGATGAATCCATTACCGTCCCTATCGAACATCCGGAACAGCTGCCGGAGCTGCTCCTCGCTGTACGGCGACTTGGCCGACAGTAGTTCCGGCGATACCAGAGCCACGAATTCTGAGAATTCCACCAGCCCGTTGCTGTTGGTGTCCGCCTTCTGGATCAGCGTCTCTATTTGGTCGGCGCTAGGTTTCAGCCCCAGAGCTCGCAGCAGTGATCCCAGCTCCAGCTGCGTCAGACTCCCGTCGTTGTTTCTGTCAAACGACCGGAATATCTCCCTGAGCTCCGCAATTTGCTCGTCGTCTAGCTTCACTGCAGGTTCCTTGTCATCCATCTTTCAGTATATACTTATATTACAAAATTTGATTTCCCTCCTACTTAATTCTTTTGATCTGACCAGTTTGAATTCTCTCTTGTGATCAGTACCTGTTACACATACACCTATATGATACATACGGACAAAACCCGGCAGGTATACATAAATATGTATACACAATCTAAAACACAAACATGCAAATCCAAATAAAAACAAAGAATGAAGACGAAACAGAAATTGCCAAAGAAGGGAGGATTTTAGAATCTGGGTTCGATCATTCGCTGTCGTTTCGTTGAATTTCTCTATGTAGAATCACTTCCATCTAATTATTTGTCTCTTCAATGGAGATTGAATGTTCTTCTTCTTCTTCTTCTTGGATTGTGAAGAGATTTAGATTGAAGGATTGAATATTTGCGTTGATGACGCTTCTAAATTCCTCTAATTTCGATGGATCCGATCCTAATTACCAGCCATTAACGACCCAATTATCGGATCCGGTCATAAAAGAAATTAGAGAAAAAAAAAAAAAAAAAACTGGAAAAGGGAAAAAGAAATACCGGGAAAGTAAGACTTTTGAAGAAAGAAGTTGTAGAATGAACAGGACATAATATATTTATGGGATGCGAATTTTCCTTTTTATTTTTTTAATTAAACAAACGAAAATTTCGAAATGAAAACAAAATTAGAGACAAGTGGCGCGAATTCCGTGATTGGTGCAGCTGTTTAGCTTTTAGTCATTTTGATTGCTGTCAACTGTTACCGCTAAGACACCGTCAACAATCCATTACTGTTGGCTTGCTAGTGAGAGTTTCGTGATCTTGACTTTATACGAGCATTGCCCAATAACAAGATGCCACGTAATGCTCATAATTTATTTACCCTGAACGGGCCTGCAAACCCATCTTCTTCCCTCCTATTCTCATCCCCCTCATTCTTTGGAAAAGCTGGTCTGTAACTCACTGTCACTATAATTTACCTCGTCTCTAAATTAGTACTAAAAAATGAGGAAAGCGAGTAAAAGAATATTATATATAGTGTTCAACGTAAAAGATTTAAACAAACAAATTCATTGCTAAATCAAAAATCTAACTTTAAAAATATGATTTTTATGATCAAAATCTATTAATTAATTGTAAACACAAGGTTCTGTATAGTTACTACTGGAGATAATTGGATCCCACAAATGGAGATGATCATTCATTCATATACAACGCATTGACCTAATTCTGTACATATATTATAAAATGTCGTAGCTAACCAATTTTTTTGTGGGCGTCCTCAACTTTGAACACTCTGGAAATTCGCCACCTGCACATTTTATGATCAAATAATTGCAATTTTGTTAATATATATATATATATATTAATTCTATTAAAAAAAAAAAAAGGGCCCAACAAAAAGGCTAAACAATGGTATTTTACTTGATAATTAATGATAGTACTTTGGGTGTATAAAGAGAAAGCAACAGAACTTTCATTTCTTTCCTTAAGATATATATGGAATGAGAAAATATTGGAGGACAATGGCAATTATGAATCCATTGATTCATACATAGCATGTACCTGGTTTACTGATCTAGAAGAGGACTCCCTTCTTTGGCAAGTACAAAGAGACCACCATCTCCTCTTGATATTCTAAAATCCTTGTCAAGATACGTAGTTAGAAGCCAGGAACTGCTCCGGTTCCCAGGGATTGGAAGCTTCAGAGGAGGTTGTCCAGAAATCAGCCTTGAAATATTTGCCCCCACCTCCTTCAGTGGATTCAGCAACTGCTGAGCTGGGGACAAATTGATGTTCTGCCCAAAGATATCAATATTCTCCGGAAGATCTATACTCGAACTTATCTCGGGAGGTTGAAATGTGCCTTCCTTAAATTCAACCTGACATGTAGATTGGTAGCTACCATCATGACAAATAAGTCCAAAAAGCATTTAGATTTAATTTGGTCTAATTTTCAACATAAATGAAATAGAAATATGAATTACAACTGCATTTATTTCAAGTGAAGTCATATTTAATCCCATCAAGTGTTCTTGTGATTCATTTTTTGATAAGCAGAAATACAAATCCATTCTTGTGGAGTTGAATATATGAGTTAAAGTTGATTCAATTATGCAACACAATGTAACTGAAATTTAAAATTTTTCATCTGGTAATGATTCAGACTTTCTTTGATTTTATTACGCAAATTGATACCATTCTGTCAAACTATTAAAACCTTTTCTTGTGATTACCAGTATTCTTGAAGGACTTCGGACTTCAAATGTTGCAGATGCACTGAATGAGAAGGTTGTGAAAGGGCCAGATAATGTAGTGGAGTTCACAATGGAGAGGCTTCTTGAGTCGATTGACTGGCATATCTTTTTCATTTTAAGTAAAGGTGTTGTGCCAACCGCCAAAAGAGGCAACAGCTCAGAAAATGCAGTATACCTGCTCATCTCGAAACCATAGCCAGAAACAAAATAAGAGTCAGTCCAAGTATATAAACACATAACATTTATAAGCAGCAGTGCAGTCCATTTTTAACAATATTCACCAAGAGTCTTGCATGAAACTATTCTCAACATTGTGACGAAGAGTCAACCAAATTGTAATTTGCTAACAAAATTGACATTGAATCAAAGAATATCCTTATTTTATGTGTTATTTGCTTCATGTCTTGTAATGCAGGGATACCCATGCAAAGTCCACACTGTCAACATGACCTAGATATCGCAATTGCCAATTTCACAATGCCTTCACTCATATATTCAAACAAAATACACTCAAATTTTTGGATTTCAAAAAAATAGGCTCAACTTCGAGTATGGATCCTCCAAAGAAAAAAGGAGACTATTACCAAAAGACTTCTTTTTCCTGTTTTGAGAAGCAAATCTGAGAATTTCTCCTGTTCAAAATCCTAAAAATCACCTTATATGTTGAAAAAAGTTGGCAACCAATCATTGAGGAAAAGAAAAGAACAGAAGCTGTGATATCTTGATATTCAACCTGATTTAATGCTGTGCACCAACTTCAACTTCTTAGGGGAAGCCAAAGCAACCAACAGAAGCAGAAAATGGCACATAATACTTTCTACAGAAGAAGAAAAAGAAATTGCTGTTTGAAGCAAGCACTAATGTACCAGTACTTGAAACTTCTTTACAAGTGTGGATGGAAGAATATCAAAGTCTCTGCATAGACGTGAATTAGGCAGTGATCCTATAGTAACTACTCTTAAACTGGATCATATTTCTTTATCTCTATTGACTTCTTAACTACTTCTCAGTTTTTTTTTTTACTTTAGCTAATTAAGATAAAAAGCATGCAATGAACATAATGCTAATGGTAAAACAATATATACATAGTTTCCCTACCATAAGTTGATGGTGATTATCGTAATTAAGATGGGTGCTTATCCTTAACAGACTGCTTATGAATAAAAATATATTGATACTCTCCTGAATTGAGTGTGTAACAATTCTGTAGCTGTGGTTGTGACAACACTACCAACACGCTGATAAGAGAACCTTTTGACCAGCCAAAATCCGGAGCCTCATTGTAAATTCACTATAGTTGTTAGACTTTGGTAAATCTAGGATTTATCTTCTTTTCAATATTTAGTTTTCCTGTTTTTATCATCGTTAGAATTTTTTTAGTTTACTCCTATTCAGGGAAATGTTATAAAGGAATCATTATAAATACCTATATAATCTAATTTTTTAAACAGCTCAGTTATTCAGTAAAATATTGATTAAGAATTTTCTCAATTTTTTTGGTTTTATGATACAATCAAACTCTTAATTCTGATCCTTAAGACTTCTTAGATATGATGTCTAAGAAACAATATGTCTTATTTAGTTTTTAATCCTTAAAATCCTAAGTAGACAAATTAATTTAAACTTATCCTACATCAAGACACATCTCCCCAAAAATGAGTAGTCAAAGTTTGATTCCAAGTCAAGAAAATGCACTTTTACCTATCACCAAAAAAGAGTCAATGGTCACAGATTGTGAGATCCAAAGACAGAGAAGGTGACTGTACGAGGTAATCTTCAATGAGGGAACAATACTAAAGAAACATCTAACTTGTGAAGATGTTTGCTCTCATGTACAAAGTTACAACGAAATGATGGATTTCAGTGATTTAGAAAAATCACCTCAACAAGCAAATCAATCAAGTGACAGCAATAGCAACACCCAATCCTCTCTTCTACAACAATGCACCCTTAAGGGATATTCATGTAATTATAATCCTCATGAATCATAAGAGATATTTAGCTTATCTAAGAACTATTAAAATAGGCTCATCATAAATCTTATCAAGGAATCTTATTGTTACTATTTTCCTTTTTAGGAATTCTGGTCATATTAGACTGTACAAACACCTGGGTGATTCATCATTATTCAATGACAACTTATGAATAAAAATTTATTGAGACTCTTGAATTGATTGCGTAACAATCCTGTGATTGTGGCGGGTGTCAATCCATGAGATTCATGATTTAAACATATATTAGTTTCTTTAATTTTTTTCTACTTTTTAAAACCATATTCCTCTGTCCTACATCATAAGCTCTACAACCAAAGATCTAATTCTATAGAAAAGAGAACAAATGCCCCTAAAGCTCTTTTACTCTCTTCTGTAAGACCGGGAGCTCCTTTAAGACCCAAAAGTCACCAATGCAGAGAGACAAATCAACTTCCTTATGTGCTTCCCCACTCTCAAACCATCCCATGCCCAAAGCTCACTAGCTAATCTCAAGAAGATTAAGGTTCAATCATGTAGCCTTCTATCTTGTGGTCACCAATGAAGAAGACAACCAAAGGATTCGTATCTATCAAACAAAGAAGACGTAAGTTTACAAATCGCTTTTCCTCTTTTCATCAGGCTATCAATAGTGAGGATTCTTCCCATGAACTTTCCTAGAAACAAAAGCTAAGGGAGGAGTTGATTTCTTTTTTTTCCAAATTTGCCTCCTCTGAAAATATATTGACAAACTGATTATGTGTAGAAGAAAAAGATATAAGGACTTCATAGAAAAGGTCCCATCCTTGGTAAACTTCCATACAGATTTATCAAACTCTTTCTTAGGGTAAATCCTATGTGCATTTACGGACACTAAAACTTCAATCGCTCAGTCATATAAGTTTCAATTCAATAGGTCATTTCAATCTATCCTGCCTCACTAATGGTAAAGCAATCCTCTACTGACATCCCTTCTTCCCTGACTACTCCAAAAATACCAACAAACTGGGTTTTCAAGGGGTTATTTCCGCATCAAATGTCCTCCTGGAAACTAATACCTAGGTCATTTCTGACTCCTTACTAATCCACTTCCAGATACACTGACCATATGAATCGCTCCTAAATTCAGAATTTCAACATCTACCACATTGAAGATATTTAGAACAGATGGTTATCCAGCAGAGCCCCTCCCTACAAATGAACTCCTGAAGTCACTTGGCCAAATGGGATTTTTCGGATCTTGGAAGCCATCTGCCATTGAATACTTACCCAAGCTACCAAATGAAGCGTTCGAATATCATCCTTCTTCGTCTATGCATTCAACGGATGATATTCTCATCTATATCAAATACTACACATAATTTAAAAGCATCATGAATTCACTATCCTTGTGGCTAAAACATGTACATCCATATTAGTTATGATAAAAGCAGTCAACAGAGATGGTCTTGCGCCTCGTGCCTGTCAGAACATGCAAAGCAAAGAAAAAAGTATATACACACATATATTTCTACCATGTAGAAATTAATATGCAATAGACAGATTGCAGGTTTCATTTTAAAGGATAGCATCCTTTCATAAAATACAATCTATTACAAAATGATAATTCGACCACAGAGTAGAATCTAGGCAGTGCCAATGAGCCACGTAACTCCCCACAACATAATTTGTTAACCAATTCTAATTCAATTGTGAGAACTAAATCCATTTCTTCATAATGGAAGCGGAAATAAACTAAATTCAACACACGATCAAGTATTCAATATAAAGTATCAAAACCAGAAGGAGAAAGGAAAACAGAGGCAAAGAACAAGAACTCACAACAAAACCCAGTTTCCATCAAGAAGGTCAGACGCCTCCATGGGTGCCGGAGTTGGGTTCTCCGCCTCCAACTGACTCACGAGCTCCGACACCTCCGCCCGAACCTCCGCCCCGGCTCGAAACCCGAGCTCCGTCCCATAAACCGTATCCACGAGGCACCTCTTCAGTTCTCCTAGCCTATCGTAAACGGCACTACCGTTATCCGATATAACATAATCCTCAGCAACATCTCCTCTTTCTTCCCACTCGTCATCGTCCTTTGGGGGATCCGAATCCGTCAGCCTCGTAGCAGGCTCTGTTTCCGGTTCGGTTTTCTCACCCCACTCGTCCGTTAAGCTTGGACCGGTGGCGGGGGTATCGACGGACGCGCTTAATGGGACGGGATCAGAATCTGAGTCGGGTATTGAGGTCGATGATGAGGAGGAGCGAGCGACAAGAGATGGGAATCTGAAAGTGAGAGACGTATGGTGTGAGGATAGAGAGAAAGAGAGAGATTGGGGACTGGTTGAAGGGTTTTTGCTAGAGAGGAAGAAAGCAGGGAGAGAGGGGAAGAGGAGAGCCATTTGAGGTTTTGGTTTGTGTCTGAAATTGGTCGGCTATGGAGATATTCGACTATTCGCGCTCTGTTATGAGCGTATTTAAAATGACAAATTTTCTTTTTAGAAAATAAATAATTTTTTTTTTTTAAACTTAAAAATCTGTCATGTAATAATAGGTATATCTATTTGTTTGCTATATATATATATATATATATATATATATATATACCCATTTCATTCTTTATCGTATTCCATTATACATTTCTTGAAAATGCATTAAGGCGTAATTCATATTTGATTTGTTTGCTTTCTAGTGATTTGCTTTTTTACCCAAATTGGAGATTCTTGGATACGTTTTTCTTATGTATCTACTCACTCACATGTCATAAATAGCCACAATTTTGACTTAATTGCAATAGAAAAGTATTATAAAAATTCATGATAATCACATAGAGGATCCTTAAACACATCATTTCTGACTATGAAAAATAACAAAATTTAAAATATATTTAATGTATTTTATTAAATTCGCTTAGAGTAATTCATCATATTAAGGATAAAATTGTATATGATAAATAGACAGACAGATTATAAAGACCTTCAAAGCTAAAACTAGTGTAAAAAGTGTATAAATAAAAATAAAATACATAAACCATGTGTGTTACCCCATATCTGATTAAATACATTTGTCAAAGAACACATATGTTTCGAAGTTTTAAAGACAAGTAGTGTATATATTTTCTAAATTGAGGATGTAACGACCCTGGAAATTTTTTTTAAAAATACATATAATAATTTGAGTGCGAAAACGAAATAAAAGTTAAGGTTAATATCTCTTACACGATAACTCAAAAGTACTAACAAACATCACGTAACAAATTCTTTGAAAAAAATACGAAAAAATAAAAAAAAAAAATAAAGGAAACTATAAAGTATCTAACATCTACTCGTAGCCTTCTTGCGAATCAGGTACGGAAACCGGGTTCTCCTTATCTGAAATGGTTAAATAAGGGGTGAGGTATACTAGTCCAGTAAGAACATCACACTATATCGCCGTTACAGAAGCAAAAGTTGGTAAAAAACAAAAAACAACCAATGGAACACAAATTTTAAACTAATACATTCATTAAAAATAAAACCATTTTTTCTTTTTCTTACCATTGGAGAACCTGTGAAAACAACCTACAAAGACAATAACATCATACAGATCATAACTTCATGCACAATTAGTAACATAGAACATATCATAAATTCATATTCATTAACAATAACTAATCATCACCGTTTCTCGTTTCACCAACCTACTAATATCTATGGAGATCCATAGGGGTATCCCTGCTACACGTAAATCCTTTCCCTTAACAATTTTAATTCTAGGGCCGTCCCCATACCCCGTCTGGTATGAGCGCCAAATGACCAAGTCTCCATACCCCATCCGGTATGAAACAATGTTCACGGTAGGGTTCCCTATGAACCCAGTCCGTCCACCATCTCCCAAGATATCTAGTGAGGCTGTCACCTTATCTGTTTATTAAATCACATCCCTTTCCTATATATCCTTAATCTCCGTTACCAAATTAAACATAATCACATAAATAATGAACATGCATCCGGTAATACAATCATATCTTAAATCTCAAAATCATACAGTGGTCAAGTAATATAGTAATACATGCATTTAAAATTCTAAAACCAGATACCATCATGCCTTTAAACTCTAAAATAAATCAATAGGAATCAACATAGCATAATGTCCAATTTCGGGCTCCATTAGCAATCCATAATTAATTATGCATATTTATTTAAGTTGTACAAAAGAATGTATTATTATTTATTCAAACTTCACATCTATGATAGAAAATAGGGTGATGGGTCCTTACTTAATTCAATATTGAAAACTAGATGGTTACTGCACCTATGTGCGGTCTCAGGTTCCCTAAATTTTCATTCGGGAATTGAAACGCGCTTACGGTACCTACAAGTGTCCCAAATAAACCCAAAAATTAGACTTAGGGTTTATTTAGCCAATTTCAAAATTCTGACACGGCGGCTCTGCCGTGCTACAGCGACGGCACCACCGCCTGCGGCGGCGATCCGCCACGGGTTGGCTATTTTCGGCCATTTTCGGCTGAATTCAGCCGAACTTGTACTGGTTCCTGTGAGAAAACATACTTAGGGCCCTCGGTGGACCGAAAAAATGCAGAAAACCGAAACTCACCAGCGGTGGGGCTCTCCGATGCGGCAGCTCCTCCGACTCACGTTGCGGTTGGGTGTTTTGCTTCGGTCAACCTGTAGAGAAGGAAACGGTGGTCACAACGGTGAAAAAATCACATTGAACGGTAATCAGGAAGGGCCTCATCGGAGGCGTTTTATGAAACACCCCGCGACGGTATTTTTCGGCCAATCAACATGTTCTTTCACGATTTGGCCATGGGTGGGTTTAAAATTGAATTTCGTGCAAGAAGAAATTTTTTTACCTCGTTTGGTAGTCGAAAATTGCTCTAGTACGGCGGTGGATGGCGATGATCGGCTCCCCGACGGTTGGGCTGTCTTCTCCAACAAGGGGTTCTGGCAGCTAGGGTTAGGGTTTGGGTGTGAATGAGGTTATTTATACCCATCCGCTTTTGATTTGGACCGTCCATTACTTTTAATCTGGACCGTCCGATCGCGATTAAATAGGGAGTGAATCTGGACCATTCATCGCGATTCAATCTGGACCGTCCGTACACGATTCAATCTGCGCCTTCCGTACGCGATGCAATCTGGGTCGTCCGTGCGCGTTTTTGACATGGACCGTCTGTGTGCGCGGGAACGGATCTCAGCCGTTCGATTGCGCGCACGCGGATCGCCCACGTGGCTCCCCCCGCGTGGCCTCCCGCGTCAGCACCTCCGCCACCTGGCGCTTGGTCGGGGCTGCTGACCGGGCAGCTTATGTGGCGTAACTTTTTTAAATTACTTTTTGACCCCCGATTTTTTATTTTATTTTCAAAAATACCCCCAGAACCCAAAATTTCATCTATTTTTTTCAAAATTATTTTCAATTAAATCCCTAACCAATTTTTTTACCCTTTTGATTATTATTATTATTATTATTATTTTCATTAAATCAAATTAAAATAAAATAAATTAAATTAAAATCATATAAATAATAATTATATTTATATAAAAATAATAATAATTAAATAAAAATAAAAATAATTAAATGTTGGGTGGTACAGAGGAATATTAGGAAAAGTGAGGGTTAAATAAAATATTGCATGAGAATTACTTTTATAAAAAAGGTAAGAGCATGTATAAAACTCGTTCTAATTTAGCTAGATAGTGAAACATAGAGTAAAGATTTCTTAATCAGACAAAATATCCTTAATTATTTGTAATGTAGTTTTTATGTTGTATATAAATTGAGATACTTAAAGAAATATTTAACTATTTATTAAATATTAATAAAACTTTCACAACCTCTTAGTTTGGAGGATAGAATAAATAAGAACCTGAAAGGTCTAGAGGGGTTCTAAGAAGCTCTCGTTTATTCTAATTTACTTCAATTTAATCTCATAAAAAATATTCTTAAACAACATTTCATAAATATTTTACCTTGCCTTACCATTTTTAACTCTCGAAATAAATTTCCAAACACGTTTTTAGGACTCATGAGAAGAGAAAACATATGAAGAGAGTTCTTTATACTCTAATAATATGTATTATGTATATTATAAACGAGGTTAGATGTTATGTACATTTTAGTATGACAAGTTAATATTAGACTGACACTAGTGAGTGTCAATTAAAAAGTTAATAACAATAAAGAATAACCTAAAGTATTGGAGAAAGATTAAGAATGTTATCCTGATCTATGGAGAAAAATAAGAGGCTTCACAAATTCTAATTTGCAGTCAAATGTAGGTAATAATAGAATTTTTATCGAGGCATTTGTTTATTTTATGAGTTTAAAAAGTCTTTAACAACCTAATAGCAGGGGTAAACATAATTTTTAAACATTTTCATTCACTTAAAAATATTTAGATTATGTATTGATTAATTAATACGTAAACAAAGATATTGAAATTTAATTCACATAAAGCAATAAACAAATAAAATGAGAGTACAAATATGATTTTATAAAGATTTAGCTACTAGCACGTGTTTATATCCACTCAAGTAATCAACTTAAAGTGTTTATACTTTTTCTAACAAGTTCTTACACAAGCTAGCTAGATACATGATAGGAAATTTGACAGAAAGAAAGAAGAGCAAAATGAACCTAAGAGAAAGTAAAATGATAAGAAAATATTTTCCTTATTCCATTGAATGTTTGGTTGCTTACAGGAAAACAATATATAGCCATTGCAGTGGTACCATAACAGAAGAAAACAAAAAACAACAAATGAAACAGAATGCAGAATACCGTAACAAAAGAAAACAAAAGCAGCAGGAAGAAACGTACTGTCATTTATACGTGGGCAATGGGCAAAAGAAAAAATATAAATAAAAACAGTTACAATTAAATATGTAATTATTCTTAATACTCCCCAATCAAGATGGAAAATACAGATTTATTGTACCCATCTTGCTCAGCAAATTGGCGAATTGCACAGGATGAAGGGCCTTTGTCATTAAATCTGCCAGTTGATTTCGAGTGGATATGTGCATCGTCTTCACGGTACCATCTTGAATCTTCTCACGAACAAAATGACAATCAAGTTCAATGTGTTTTGTTCTTTCATGATACATTGGATTTGAAGCAATATGTAGAGCGGCTTAATTATCACAGTAAAGTAATGCAGGGCCTTGGTGTTGAACCTTTAAGTCACGTAACAGCTTCAGAATCCAAACGATTTCGCAAGTAGTGTTGGCCATGGAGCAATATTCGGCTTCAGCAGATGACCGAGAAACGACTTGTTGTTTCTTTGATTTCCATGATACTAATGAAGACCTAAAGAAAACACAAAAACCAGTGAGGGATCTTCTAGTATCCGGACATGTGCCCCAATCAGCATCAGAAAATGCCTTAATATGAATGACAGATGATGAAGGAAAGAAAAGACCTTGTCCAGGGGTCCTCTTGATGTACTGGAGAATCC